GAAAGAGGGCAATGAGCCAATAATATCGTTAAAATCTTTAAATTATAATCTAATATATTGCGAAGAATATCACGTAATTATGGCGTTTCGTCCCAGCTTCCACTACTGGACTCGTCAGTAAGGTATTGTAGTGGAAGTCTACCTTAGACGCCTGTTTAAGCTATTAGATCGAGAATCTATATATACAGATATACGCGCATCCAAGCACTTGCGAGAATTTGCGAATATCGATAGACCTCTGATGGCGGGTCGACGTAGTAATATTCTTCGCAATATTTATCCAAGGTAAGAAATAACGTTCTATTAATATATGTAGTCCCCCCAAATTGCGAATAAATTATTTTGGAAATAAAAGAGTATTTAAAACATTTAACCGTATTTACAAAACAAAGAGTTGATATTTCTAATAAAATTAAGGTATTAAAATATTGGCAAGAAAATATAAATTCTCTTCTAAAAATGTGGGATTACTTGCGCATTACTGCTTCTGAGATTCAACATTTATTTATGCGTCGTTTTAACCAAGATTTAGTAGAGAATTTCTTTTTCAAAATGCGAAAAATGAATGGTAACACTTTCAATCCCACACCGATACAGTTTTATTACTCTTTTAGAAAACTTTTTTCTACAAATTTCTATGTACCTATAACAGAAAATTGCGAGCGAGATAACGATGTGTTATAGCCCGAATGGCTATCACTTATTTTATCAATTATTTCATTTCAACCGGCATAGCAACCGGCACCGGAAATGCAAGTCTGCACATTCTTTAAACCGCGCACGACAAAGCGTCGATCTAAGATCGTAGCGCGCAAAATACCTAAATGCACTCGGCACGGCAACCAACAGCGGAAGTGCAAGATTGCACATTCTTTAATCACGCGATCGCGCCTCTAGCGCGATGAATATTACCATATATGGTCCGACCGAAGACCAAAAGCGACATCATCAAACTCAATATAAGATTTGCATAGATTTGCAAATTTTTTGGTATGTTTTGCGCATCGTTAATTTTCATTCTTAGAATTTAAGATTACAATCTTTTAATTAATATATGTTCATTTATTGTTTTCAGTTATATATTTAACTATGCACAAGATTTTCTTTTGTATTGATGTTTGTCCATATTATGTACATTTCAACGTTAAGTGTTTCATCTGAAGAGGACCAGATTTGGTGGTCAAAACTAGTAATATAATTAACATCTGTTTTTTTAATCGTTACATTTATGTAAATTTTATAAGTTCATTTTAGAATATATGTATTAATTTGTTGTTAATTTTCTTTTCGTTTGACTCTTACAATGCCATTTCCACGTTTATAATGTTTTTAAAGAAAGAGTCTTTTATTTGTTCTATTTTTGTTTATATACGCTGGCTGTAATAATGCGACTCACACATTCTTATTCGTTTTTTAAATTTATATTAAGATATTATGGTTATTATGCAGAAAAACATTTGAAATTATGGATAGAATATCGTAAGAAAATAATTATCACTTATTTACGTATTAGATTTATTAAACATTGTATTTATAATAGGATCACACCGCAACATTTGCATAACTTTAGTGAATTTAATATAAAACTTTTTAACCAGAACTCGTATCGTAGATTATCTCAACTTAAAGAATCGGCTGTTAATAAAATTTTACACATTGAATTGAATGACGCTTATAGAGAGATTCAGAATTATAGAATGTTGTTGTTCCAGGTAGTGAGCATTATATCAGGTTGTTTGCCGATTAAGATTTGTGATGAATTTCTTATCACACAAGAAATCTCATGTAGGAACTTTTTTGAGAAAGAAAAAAGCAGGTTGGATTCAAAACTAATTTGGTTGTTACGTAAAAAAGAAAAATTAAATCTAATTAATATCAAACCTATTAAATATCATTGTCTAAATGAATCTTCTTCTGATATCCTTATATCTCCTCAGGTTTTTTCTTCACACAGTTCCTCTTCCTTAAATACTCTCCGAAAAAAATGGTTTGTGAACCTTTCTTCTGTCGATATCCCTTATAACGTCATGTGTTTTTTGCAGTTAGGCGAAAATTTTGCTCTTCCTTTTAATAACAGGACGAAAATTGTTTTTGAATGTATTAAGGGTATTGAAAGTAGTGTTCTGAAAATGCCAATTACCAGAAGGATGGACATCACCAACCATTCTATACCTATCCTAAATAACATAGTTTCTGCTCCAAAATTTACATCACCAACAACCAAAAAATTATCTGAACTTGAATCCCATACTGTAGATTTTATAAAGAAACATCCTAATGTGATTTACACTCACGCAGATAAAGGTAATGTTACTGTCGCACTTGACAAAGATGTTTATGTTTCTAACATGAATTCATTGTTTGGCGACAGTGACACATACGAGATTATCAAAAAAGATCCTACGAAAAAACTTACATCATCTTTAAGAGTAATGCTGACTGAATGGAAGAACAAAGATTATATAGATGGTTCCGAATATAGAAAATTGTATTGTAGTGATGGTATGCTTCCGAGAGCCTATGGGTTGCCAAAGATCCATAAACCAGATTGTCCATTAAGAATTATAGTCTCTTCAATAGGGAGTCCGTTGCATTCTTTGGCTTCCTTTTTACATGAAATTCTTTTTGAAACAATTCCTGTGGCAGATAGTAATATTAAAAATAGTTTTAAGTTAATTGAAAAATTGAAATGTTTTAATAATGCAGATGGTTTTGAATTGATTTCTTTGGATGTGGTTTCACTGTTCACCAATGTTCCCATCGATATTGCGTTGGATTGTATTGATGAACAGTGGTGTTACATTTCGAGAGGTTGTCCATTGCCAAGGGAAGAATTTCAGAAAGCGATAAAATTTGTTTTAGAATCAACTTTTTTTGTTTTTGATAACAAGACATATAGACAATATTTTGGCACACCCATGGGTTCACCTTTGTCACCTATTATCGCTGATTTGGTGATGAGGAGATTGGAGACTGTGACCTTGCAACCATTCAGAGGTGACCTTCTTTTTTATTTTAGATATGTGGATGACGTTTGTATGGCAATCTTACCGGAGAAAATAGATACTCTTTTTCAAGCTTTTAATTCTTTTCATCCTCGACTTCAGTTCACACTGGAAATAGGAGGAGATAAGTTGAACTTTTTAGATACCACTATTTCTAAAATTAATAATATATTTATTTTTGATTGGTACCGAAAACCCACCTTTTCTGGTAGATTCTTGAATTTTCTCTCTAATCATCCTATATCTCAAAAGAGGGGTGTTGTGTTTTCTTTGGTTGACAGAGCTTTTTTACTCTCTGATTTTGGATTTCATAAAAGAAATCTAACTCTTATCATTGACATTTTACTGGATAATGATTATCCTTTGGATTTTATCTTTGATTCTGTCAACCTCAGAATAAAGCATCTATTAAAGAATCATAAAGATCACGCTCGTACACAGATTGATAATAATATTAATGCATGTCCATCTTGGCTTACGGTGCCTTTCATTCCGATCCACGCGGAGAAATTTAAGAGATTTGATAGGAGTGTTGTCAGAGTTTCTTTTCGTAGTCCGAACAAAATGAAAAAATACATTAAGGTGCAAAAGGACTCACGTCTCCACACATCTAAAAGTAACGTCGTTTATAAAATTCAGTGTAACGATTGCGATGCTTCTTATGTGGGGCAAACCAGCAGACAATTAAAAACAAGAATTAAAGAACACCGTAATCATATAAATTATAATAGTTCTACCAGATCGGTAATAACTGATCACAGATTGGAGTATAATCATGACTTTCGGTGGGACGATGTTGAAATTCTTGATGAGGAACCTTGTTACAGGAAGCGATTGGTCTCAGAAATGTTAAATATTAAAAAACAGAAATTTAGCCTAAACTTACAAACCGACACGGAAGGTCTTCATGAAGCATATATACCCATTATAAACAAAATTTGATCTTTCTGTATCAGTTGTTGCCGGTCGTTATTTAGTTGGAATTGGTCCGTTGAGGATGTTTGACGTGTTCCATGTATTACTTTTTATCTCAAGATGTACTTCGACAGTTTTGTAATATTTCTGACATAAGTTTTTTTAAAGAAAAAATTTTTTTCTGTTTTTTTATTGTGTGACAATTATCATTATGACTATTTTTGTAAATATATGGATACACGGACCAACTAATATTTTCACGCATAGATTTGCAAATTTTTTGGTATGTTTTGCGCATCGTTAATTTTCATTCCTAGAATTTAAGATTACAATCTTTTAATTAATATATGTTCATTTATTGTTTTCAGTTATATATTTAACTATGCACAAGATTTTCTTTTGTATTGATGTTTGTCCATAATTATGTACATTTCAACGTTAAGTGTTTCATCTGAAGAGGACCAGATTTGTTGGTCGAAACTAGTAATGTAATTAACATCTGTTTTTTTAATCGTTACATTTATGTAAATTTTATAAGTTCATTTTAGAATATATGTATTAATTTGTTGTTAATTTTCTTTTCGTTTGACTCTTACAATGCCATTTCCACGTTTATAATGTTTTTAAAGAAAGAGTCCTTTATTTGTTCTATTTTTGTTAATATTTTATACTTAACATTAAACAAAAATGAAATAATTTATTGTATTACACTATGTAACCTGTTTCTTTTGTTTGAAAACACCCATAATAATCATCTTTGTAATTTATCTTCGTATCTGAAATATTCAAATTTAAGCGCGTGTACTTTTCTCAAAATGGCGACAGATCATGTGACTTGGGATCACCTACATCAAAGGTGCCGACGCTTAGTGTCGTAACTGGTTAAACTGTGGTTTAACTCTATGCCGTTCCAAAACGCGAGGTAACTGACCATATGGGCGGAGACTATTCGTTCCAAAAGTAAGAGTAAACCTACCTTGGAGTCAACTCTATGAACCCTGCTTAATGAATCAGTGATTGTGATTGATGATTAACGCAACAGATAATTAAGAATATACGTAGTGGGTACAAATACATTTCTTAAGTTATAGGAAGTACACAAAGTTTGGTGATAGGACGCTTATAATCACCCTTGGCTGTATGTATTAACGCAGTTCTTATAATTCCATCTTGACCTGGATATATCTCCTTAATTCGCCCTAATTTCCAACTTAAAGGCGGCAAATTGTCTTCTTTCAGAATAACGAGTTGCCCTATCTGAATAGGATTCGTGACGGTATTCCATTTACTCCACTGTTGATAGACATGTAAATATTCTTTCGTCGTTCCAGCGTCGCCAAAATTGTTGTCGCAATTGTTCGATACGTTGCCATCGATCAAGTCTATTGATTTTTACATCTGCAACATTTGGCTCTGGATATGCAATGAGAGGACGTCCTATTAAAAAATGACCGGCAGTGAGTACTGACAGATCGTTAGGATCTGCTGATAACGTGTAAGGGGTCGTGAATTGAGAATTGCTTCTATTTGTACTAACAATGTATTCAGTTCTTCATGTCTTAAACAAGCTTCTCCAGCAATACGTGCCAGATGAAATTTAACGGATTTCACGGCGGCCTCCCAAAGGCCGCCCATATGTGGTGCCCTTGGTGGAATAAAATGCCACTGTATACGTTCATTTACCATATTGTCAATAATTTGTTGCTCAGTTTCTTTACTGTCAAATAATTCCTTGAGTTCACGCTCAGCGCCAACACAATTTAAGCCGTTATCAGAATATGTATGATTAGGACGTCCTCTTCTTGCGATAAATCGTTTAAGTACACTTAGGAACGTGGCTGAAGTTAGATCATTCGACAACTCTAGATGAACCGCCTTTGTCATAAAACAAACGAAGATTGCTATGAAACATTTGATTAATCGTGAATTCTTTCGTTGACCTTCCTTGTAATAAATAGGGCCGGCGTAATCGATGCCACATGTCTCGAATGGTTGTGTATCACCTTTCACGCGGGCTTCGGGCAAGTCACCCATTAATGCAGTAGACAATTTTGGTGAATTGCGAAAACATATTACACATGTGTTAATAACTTGACGTACGACATTTCGAGCTGAGCACGGCCAAAATTCTTGTCGAATTGACGCTAAGGTCAACTGCGCTCCTGCATGAAAAAGACGATAATGTTCATGGATTATAATCATACGAGTGAATCTATGTTGCGCCGGAATTAACATTGGATGTTTTGCATTGTATGACAAATTTGTATCCTTTAAACGATCACCAACTCTCAGAATTCCGTTCGCATCTAAAAATGGATTTAATTTAAGAATTGAGCTCCGCCTATTCACAGCCCCAAGCTTGAAATATGATGAATATCATTCTGAAAATATTCCTGTTGCACGATTTTTACTAACGCTAATTTTGCTGCTTCTAGTTCGGAAACGGAGAGTGGACGAAATTTTCTATCGTTGTCGCAATATTGAGAAGTTTCGACAGAATCTACCCCTTTCTTTCTTATCATGTTAACAAAACGTAAACATACTGCGAATACTCGTATCAGCTTCAAATAGCTCAAAAAACGTTCGAAAATCTCAAATGTAGGTTTTGGTACTGCCACATTGGTTACGGCTGTTTTTCGTCTCTCTGGTACAATATCTTTTGATATTGATATCGTTGTAACTGGCCACTCAGATTCAGCATCTTTCAGCCAATGAGGTCCATACCACCACAACTCTGATCTGGATATTACGTGAGCAGTTGCTCCTCTTGAGAGTAAATCTGCGGGATTTTCCTTACTTGATATGTGACGTCAATTGTCAATGGTAGTTAATGATTGAATTTCGCTCACCAGATTGGCGACAAAGAGCGTCCAATTGCGACCGGGCGATTGCAACCAACACAGCACTATACTGGAATCAGTCCAATAAACGGTATTGTCAATTTTGCAATTTAAACAATTTTTCAACTTGTTGATTAGTTGAGCAAGTACCACAGCTCCACATAATTCTAATCGTGGTATTGATAGGGACTTCACAGGTGCTATCCGTGACTTGGAAGCAATCAAATGACTTTCTACCTGCCCGCTCTCCGAGATAGATCGCACATATACGCATGCTCCGTACGCCTGTTGATTAGCATCAGCAAATCCGTGTAATTCAATACGTACTGGTTTTTCTATTAATATTTTCCGAGGAACCTTGACGTCATCCAACTGTTCGATCTGCGATTCATACTCCTTCCACGTAGTGTTCAGTTCCATAGGAATCGATTCGTCCCAGTCAATTTTCAATAACCACAATTCTTGCATAATGATTTTCCCCGTTAACGTTACAGGTGTTACAAATCCTAGGGGATCGAATATTAATGCAGTTCTTGACAGAATTTTTCGTTTGGTAGGTTTCTCGAGCGGTGTCCATTTGCATGCGTCAACGAATTTGAATATATCCAAGTCATAATTCCACACTAATCCAAGTGCTCGAGTCTCGCCTAGAGATCCGGTCGCGTTAAACTCTTTGTTATCTGATGGGGATTCACTATCTCGCAACTTGATTTCGTTGGAGCACCATTTTGTTAATTCAAAACCCCCTCGCTTGAGTAATTCATGAGTCTGCTGTTTTATGATCATTGCTTCATCTATTTGCTCCTGTCAGTATATCATCCACATAGGAGTCTCTCAACACGATTCTCGAACTAAGTGGGTAATCAGTGGCTTCATCTTTGGCGAGTTTCTGCAATGCTCTTATGGCCAAGAATGGCGCAGCTACTGTGCCGTAGGTTACAGTTGTGAGTTCGAATATCTTTAACCTTTCTTGGGGATTATCTCGCCAGAAAATGCGTTGAAGCGATCTCTGAGTTGGATGAATTAGTACTTGCCTGTACATTTTTGTAATGTCAGCTGTGATTGCCACCATAAATGTACGAAACTTTGCCAAAATTGCAAATAGGTCCTGTTGAATTGTTGGACCGACAAATAACATGTCATTTAAACATTTTCCTGAGTCAGTCTTGCATGACGCGTCAAAAACTACTCGTGTTTTTGTTGTTGTACTTGTTTCCTTGAAAACAGCATGATCAAAAAACAACTGTCATCACTGTCTTTGATTTCCTGCATGTGGTTTAGAGACTGATATTCATTCATAAAATTACGATAAGCAGCATAAATATCAGGATGCTTGGCCAATCGTTTTTCTAGTGCGAAAAATCGACGTTTGGCGATCTTCTTAGAATTGCCTAACTGGCTTATCAACTCTTCCTTGATTGGAAGTTTGACTATATATCTTCCCTCAGAATTACGCGTAGTGGTTTGTAAAAAATGGGTTTCGCATATACGTTCTTCGGGTGACCGCATGGAAGCATCAATGGAGTAGTTATTTTCGGTTTGCCAGAACTTGGAAATAGTGTTATTTAAGTCATCCATTGTGGCTAAATGACAAGCGCTGCCTTCATTGGTTTGATGATTGTTGAAGATCTGACCAGAAATAATCCAACCGAGTTTGGTCTTCTGAATGGTAGGATGTGCCTTGCATGGTTTGATCTGACCAATACAGAGTAATTGCCAGAACACTTCGGCACCGATCAAAATGTCAATGTTGTCCGGAATATTAAAATGAGGATCTGCTAATGGAATGTTTGACGGAATTCTTAGTTGTGATATATCCACAAATTCTTGAGGTAAATTTTGTGTGATTTTTTTCAAGATCACGCAGTTCAATCTTCCGCGATAACTATTGTGTTTGGATTGTAAAAGAACGTTTACAGACCTCGCGTTGATGCCTCCCTGTGCTACTCCAGAAATGGCGATGTTTAAATGTTGCTGTTTCAATCGTAATTTGTTCGTGAAGGTTTCAGTAATAAAGTTCAGTTGTGATCCATTATCCAACAATGCACGATATGTGTGACCTTTACTTTGAGCATCAAAAACATCTACTATCGCTGTGGATAATAATATCTTCTTTGCTGAACCTTGTTGAGAGCATTGTGTAACTACTGGTGCTTGTGAAATTTCAGTGTGTGATCCGAAATTCGTGTTCGAAAGGGTTTCATCTTGCTCGTCTGTAGTTTCAAAATGCATGAGTGTGTTGTGTGCCTTATTGCATTTACGACAGGATCCAGATGTGCAATTCTTGACTTGATGATTGCTTTTTTTTAGACAATTAATGCACAGGCGTGCATTTTTTACAATTTTAAATCGTTTATCGACAGAGAGTTCCTTAAATGAATCGCATTGATACAAGAAGTGATGTTCTTTGCAACATTCAAATTAGTGCTGGCTGCATGACTGACTGCTCGTTTTGATTTTTGATATGTATTAGTGTCAACAAATGAAGTAGTCTTATTCGCGATTGCCTCCAAAGCCGAACATTGTAACAAAAAATCCTTAAATTGCTTGAAAGTTGGTATCGAGTTATCCGTGCGACTTGTCTTCCATTCTCTTTTTGTCACCGAATCAAGCTTGGACGAAATGAGATATATTACTAGATCATCCCATGTATCTACAGGTCTTTCTAACGCCTTGAGAGCGCGCAAATGTTTGAGTGCGTTGCTAAGTAAGGTACGCAATTGTGCATGATTCTCCTTTGTGATATGTGGTAATTCTACTAGTTCCTTCACGTGGTCGTAGACGATGCGTCGACGATTGTTATAACGTTCGATCAACGATTCCCATGCTTCAACATAATTCTCAGTAGTTATATCGATTGACTTTATAATGTCCAGTGCTTCACCTTTCAAGGGCAAACGCAGATAATGGAATTTTTAAACAGCCGCCAGACTATAATTTGAGTGAATTAGTTTGTCGAATGTGTCATAGAAAGAGTACCAATCTTCAGTTGCGCCTGAAAAACTTGGTAATTCAATTTTAGGTAACCGAATTTGTGAAACAGTGGTATTGTTATTCGCTTGCGTATTGAAATTCTGAGAATTGACATCGGTTTGAGCTTCACGAATATTAATTTCATTAATTGCTGCTTCGAATTTTGCCATCAGCGAAAAATAAGCGTCTTCAAAATTACTTCTATCGTCGGAATGCTGAATGTCAACTTGACATTGCATCTCATCATCATTAACACTCAGCATTTCAGTTTACACTTCATCATAGTGATCCCATAAAATACTTAACTTTTTTTATTTCTCCGTTAACTCGAAACGCGAAACATGTGCAATTTCTACTGATTCGATAAACTCTTTCAATCGTGTGACTGCTCCCTTAAGAACCTTGCGCTTACCTTTCGCCTCCGCTAATGTAAGGTTAGACATTTTGACGTTTGTGGTTTAATGATCGCTACATAAAATTATTCTACTATGAAACGCCACGACGATGAACTTAAAAATACTATACTATACCCTGATTCGCTCACAGGGATCCAAAACAATAAATTTCAATCGAATTAATTGTTTACAATGCTAGTCATATAGTTCTTAGTACAGGTTATCTTCCGATTCACGGTGGATTCAAAGTAATGTAGATTGGTAGACTTGTTGTGATAAGACAGCGCCGCGTGGTGACTGTCGTGTTGAAATAATTGCTGCGTCGATATTCGAGATGGCGTCAGAAATCTCAACGTGTTGACTACCGCGCCAATAACGGTTATAGCCGATGCTGCGCCGATGTCGAAAATGCTGCGCCGATGTCGAAAATGGATTTTTACTAACTCAATTCGTCGAAATGATGTAATAAGCTATGTCGTCAATTCATATAACAGCTCTCTACTGTGATTCAGTAATTGCAGGCTCGAATGATGATCGATAGTTAAGCCGTCTGTATATACGTTAGCGTTGTTGGATATCGAATACCTTGTCTTCCTTTGGACCACCTTCGCTGTGAAGATGAATCCGGCTCGAAGGACCATGTAAAATGACGAATTATTGTTCGTCTCGTGAAACGTTTCACGTGTGTATGCGGACACTATTTTTATCAAAATAAATATGCAAGGTATGTTTGATAAATATCCGTAACTTTATTTGATCACCACTTGCTTCTTACCAACATGGTGCCTGCGAAGCAACCATGATGGAAGTATACATGGTGTGCTTAGTTTTGCGTTGTCTCATTCTAAAATCTCCCGACTCTCTTTTCTTGTCGCCGAAAAAAATAGGCCTGCCACCACAAAAAATATTCCTAGAATAGTGGGTATTTCGCACTGTTATGTTGCAAATCACACTAGGAAGCAGCACATGTATACACACAGACACACAATGCATATAAACATTGACATCTCTACTTTAATATCTAATAATTGTAATTAAAGTATGTATATATTCACATGTGCATAATAAGCTAAGCTTATAAACTAAGCTTACATGTGCATTGCAGCATGAATCGGTGTCTTCTTCGATACTAGCTGTATTTCCATTGCCGAATGTAGACTCCAATATTTCAGATAGTTTTAGTAGTTAATTTAATATAAGTAATAGACATTATTAAGAAAAACACTTTACAGATTTTACATAAATTGTCTATATCAATTTTACTCAATGTGCATGTATGCATACGAGTAAAATGTATATTTTTGGAGTCTCAAAAAAAGTAGCAGAAGAAGACAATATTATAATGTTTCAACAAAATCGAAGTAAAAATAAACATTGACATAAATTTGACTTAAAGTTATTAAATATTACTATTATCAACACTTACCATTTAGAGTATTGGATGGAATTACACTTCCTCCTATGTTTTTAAGCCACCCTTCACGCATAATGGCATTATTCGGCAACTTGTGGAAGCTTACTTCCTCCGGAGTACACGTTATGTTGGTGTTCTTACACGCTTTAACAATACACCGCACCATTTTACTTCAAATTTTCACTTTAATTTCAAAATAACAGGCCTGCACGTTTCTTTCAGGAGACGGCTAAAGACAGACTGAGATAGATGCTCCACGGCGCATGCATAAAAGAGACACTACTAGTTCAGTACTGCCAACCTTTCTAAGTTGGCCGCCCTATGTTTTTCGGTGACAACCGCGTTGAAAAGGGGCGTGGTTTACGAGTTCTGAGCACACCATGTATACTTCCACCATGGAAGCAACTGTCTCCCTACTCTACCGCTCGCAAAACAAAAAGTAAAAATGGATGATCACGTGAGTGATGGCGGCGCGAGAGTCAAATTAGGTTAGCGCATACATAATTCATTGTGGGTGATGGATACGAGAAGTGAGTAGAAAATGTGATTCGAAAGCTTGTATCAAGGTTAGATGTATGCACGCACATATGTATATGATTTATCTCAGTTTATCTCTTTCTAAATAAAATATTAAATATAATATTATATGTATATACCTATATGTGTACATACGTGCGTGTGTGTGTGTGTGTAACGAAACACGAGTCATTCAATAAATAACCTTAATTTCCTCAAAAATTAAAGGGATATATTAAAGTTATTGACTCGCATACATTGATTAGACATATAAATGATGTGATTTTAATATTGTGTATCCAAATATCAGTGGATAACATCAAAGGATTTCCAACTCTCTGTCTCTCTCTCACTCCCTTACTCGTCACGTTCCAAATCGTTCAACTCGAGTAACGTACTCTGAGGGCCTCTTTCACCAACGCCGATTAACTTAATCGACGATTAAGGTAAATGTCCCAGTTTGTGACCTTATAAGAAAATCGCATGAGTTAATACGAATGAAAAATACTCTAGAGTGATTAAAATCAGGAATCAATTATACCGAACTCAAGATTAATCATTTTTGTATCGAAAAACATGCTTTACTGGGGTTGTAAACATAATCTAATAAATATAAAAAAATAAATAGCAAACTATGTAAATGTAGACATTAGTGACCGCTTGATTTTAATTTTGCCCTATTTGTGACTCCACGGTTAGTGACTGGTGCATTGGATCGAATGTATCACCATGTATCACTTAGTGACCGACGCACATGATGCAATACACACGGTGTCCATTGTAAGTGTCCTAGCCAAAAGTGATAGCATTGTCACCAAAATTTTCTTTCGAGCATACATCGAATATTTCCGTTTATTCGTCCAAAATGTAACTCATA